GAGGATCGTCCAGTCTCCATCACAGACTTCTAGGTAACGCCTTTTCTTCCTTTTTCTACAAATGCGTTCCGAGTCTTGATACATGTCTATCATTTGGATTCTACTCTGGATCTTTATCATTATCATTTGAACTTTCATACACGCTATCACTATCTTTAACGTCATCCTTTTCTAAAATATCTTCCTCATCACTAGTTGCATCATCCGGGAGAGATTCTTCATTGTTTTCTTCAAGCAACAATTTTCTGATAGAGTTCAGGTCTAAAGATCTATCGTTATGAACCATTTGTCAAATAAGTTTTATAAGAATAACAAGATACAAACTTAAGTATAAATTACAAAGTATTATTTATTTTATTTATTTATTTTGTTAGTGTAAAAAAAAAACCTTTAAGAAAAACTGGCGCAAATACTAAGCATTTGTATGTTTTACAAATAAGAATTAACTACGGATCATAAGCCGTCGTAAAAAACACGAAACACACTTCAATACACACCCACACCGAACTGAACCATAGGGCAGTAGGCTCGAGACTGAATTGCAAGGCCAATGACTACCATTGGAGTCTAAACCTTCACTATATCATCACGATGTTGTCTCCTGGCACAGCGGAGTGGGGGAAGCACAATTTTTATTATAGCTGCAGTTTTTTAATACGGACAAAATGAGAACATTCAATTGGCTGAGGGAACACCATTACCGCAACGATACGGTTTATAACCATCGGCCTCGGTGGTCTAGTGGATAACGTGCCGGGCTGAAAAACTGAAGGTACCAGGTTCAAATCCTATCGATGGCACTAATTAGTAAACCTTCATTCAATTTTTATTTTATATCTTTTTTATATAATCAGCAAGTTTGGTTGGTTAGGTTAGTTTATGACAGTTTCATTTTATAAATTTTCATTTTTTAATTCTGTATTTCTCCTTATTGAAAAACTGCAGCATAGGTAACATAGCATAGGTTATGTATGTAAAATAACAAGGGCTTGTTTGGACGCCATCTAGAGGGGAGGTGGAGGGACAATCATTTCCCCCACTCTGCAGCGCCAGGGCCAACATCGCGATGATACAGCGAAGGTTTAGACTCCAGTATGACTACCTATCACGAGATGGGGGGGGGGTGAGTTTAGGAGGGATGAGTTTGAGGGGGGGGGGTGAGTTTGAGGACGGGGCGTCAGTGCCAAAAACAGTTTTACTAACTGCCGTTGTAAATATTACGAAGGCTTCGTGATCTAGGGATAAAACCATAACACAAAATAACTAAAATAAAAATAGAGTAACGTAGCATTGATTGCAGAAAAATCCAAAAAATCTTGTTGATTTTTCATGCAGCAGCGTACTTCAGGTACATCCGATCTTAATAATCAATAGCTCAAATAAAAGCAGGTATTTCACTGAAGGTTCTTAAACCAAAACATATAGGATAAGTTAATGCAATTAGAACTCGTGAAATTTTTTTATCAAATAAAAATTTTAAGAAGAAAAGATCTAATTTATGTTTTTTTGGTCGAATAGTAGTAAGTAGAGCCTAGTAGGTTAAATGAGTGATGATGCTTGATGGCAAATCTGTGCTTGCCTAACTTTATTTTTAAAACACTATGAAAATCAGTTGGGTAGAAGAGTCAAACAAACTCGGAAAAGAAAACCTAATAGTTTTAATATATAGACTAGTGGCTTGCGGGGTCATAAGTCCCTAAAAAGCTCAATAATGTAAAACAAATTATTCTAATATTTAAACACACTTGTTTGTCTTTGCTTTTGTTGATGTTATTTTCAATAAATAATTTGAATCACTCCATAGGTATAACTCTGCCCAAGGCAGCAAACATATAATATTGTTTGTGAATAAATACTGGTTTACTAAGGTAGCTTTGGTCTTGTGGTTAATGGTGATAAAAAAAGGTTTCACTGATTGGAATTTTGGAAATCGTCTTTGTCAAATATGAAAAGGCAAATAAAGGTGTGATCAGGTAAGCTTAGTTCTTGGTCAAAACCTCTAAATTAGCATCCCTACCCCTGTTAATATTTCTCAGTTTAAATACTCCTTTTGTTAACGTTTAACAAAATTAGTGTACAGTAAAGTACAGTAGCCTATTAACCAAAATTAACCCTAGAAATTTTTCTGATCAACATTAAAAAACTAATTTAGTGTAGGCCTACGTTTACCTGGAGGTATTCCTCTTAAAGGTGCGATTGACTTTACATATTCTATCAAAATAGGCCTATCATTGGCTGATTCCTAACTCTATTGCAACTGGTTAGGGTTCCATTACCTAGTTATCAAAACCAATCACGAACTTACTTTTCATCAGCATTGTCATATATATTTTTGGTTTGTTTAAGAAATGTAAAGAAACGGAAACTACCTCTAGGTTTACTGTTATATGTGGATGCTCCCTTTACTATTATATACCATACATGCTAGGCTATATTAGTCTTTTTTACTTAGAGCAACATACAGTAGGCCTACCTGTTTAGAATCTCCAAACAATTTTGTTTTCCGCAATTGGAACTTGTCATAGTACTTACTTAGTTAACAAATATATTTCCTGTACAAACCTATTCCATCTTTATTTTCTAAGAGTAGCCTTTGAGGTTATTCTACTTCATACAAAATATTGATAAAACACTACAATAAATCTCAAATTTAAAGTTAGTAAATCTACAATGAAAGGAAGAATAAATAATATTGTAGTTATTAACATCTACAATCTATATGATTAATACGCTACATGAAACTTTGTCGGTTGAACTCCTCCGCCATTTCTTAACCGATTTTATCGAATGACGTCTCATTGGAAAGAGCGTGTCGCGTAGATTTGCAAACTGGCCTTACATTTTTGAAAAAGTACCTTGGGCTCTGCCCCAGTGGCTTTGAAGGTTCCCATGTTATACTTATGAAGAACATAATTGACACATTTTGATCAGCTGTGTAGGCCTATAATTTAATTGCTGTTAGGCCTATTTATTTTTCAATTCAATCAAACGCATTGAGTACATTTAATTACTAGGCTATTTGAGTTTGTGTAAACATAACCCCCAAGACGGATCGTGTTAGTACGGTTGTATCTGAAATTTGTGTATTTATATTGTTGTTTTGTGTCGCTATGACGGTTCGTGTTACCATGATTGTAACTTAAATTTGTGTATTTATCGTTGTTTTGAGTCGCTATGACAGATCGTGTTAGCATGATTGTAACTTAAATTTGAGCATTTATTGTTGTTTTGTATAGCTATAATTTCTTTAATTGTTGTTTTTTTCTTTTAAATGCCTCCGACGCGATGACAACGAAACATAGACAGGAGGCGTAATCGTGATAACGACCGCAGCTACAGAACAGTGGCCAGTGCCGGATTTAACAAGCAAAAGGTGGCCGCAGAGGATCGAGAAAAACATTTTTTTAGATAAAAAATAATTAGTTTTAAACCACCAGTTTGCCCCGATCACAGGTGACCATAATTAAGGGGTGATTTTCATTGCTTTGACACTAGGAAAAGAGAAAACCTTGACATTCCTTTTACAAGACTGGAAAAGATTAAGTAAAAGAAGCCATATTATTATGGGTAGAAAGTCAATGCAATTTATGTAGCCTATGGCTTGTCAGAAACCCCCTGTATAAGATTGATGATTTTTTTGCTTTACAACCAATGACATAACCACATATGATTATCTAATTCCAGCCTTGAATGTCTTTTTCAGCCTGTCTATGCTTAAAATCTGCTTTTGTACCATTATTTATTTGCATGATGTGTAAGTTTAGGTACCGTACTTAGGTAGGCCTATCCTAAAACCTTGTAGGCCTACACTAATTATTGTTTACTAAGTATAACTATTAGTTGACTGAACTTGACTTGTGCCTCTACCAGCATCATGTAAATTTGACTGTGTCTCATGCATCTATATAATGTCTATAGACGAATTAATATCATTAAATTTCATTTCAATGGTGTGAACTTCAAAGTGTGGCATCAAGAAGAAGGTTTAAAAGAAAAGTCCAGAAAGTTCAGATTTACCAAAAATAATTATAAGGTAGGCCTACATGAACAAATTTAAAATATAGGCCTATTTAGATTCATGGCCTAAGTTAAAACACTAGGCCTAATTACTGTTTAGATGGTCAGGTTGAGAGCCTAGGTAAGTTAGTTGATCAGTCAAGGAATGACCCAAGATAAAACATAATAAGGCTACTAGGCTAAGCTTACTCTAAGTATAACTTAACTTTAGGACTGTAACTTAATAGGCCAACGCTAACTTTAGTTAAACTTTATTGGGTGATTTCTACTTCAGCCTAATAGGCTAATTAGTCGTAGGCCTATACAACTTAACTTATTAACTAGGCCTACAAAAATAGAGGCCTAGGCCTATCTGGGATGAAACATAATAAGGTAATAAGGTAGGCTAGGTTAGCTATTTAATTTAATTGACAATAGTATAAAATAATACTGTAGATCAATACCTGTGCCTAGGATCATAAAAAAACCTGTCATGATTAAACATGCCACTTAAAAGCAAAATGACTGTGTGTCTGGATTAGGCCTAGTGTAGTTCTTATTAGGCTAAGTAGGCTAGGCCTACCTCACACAAAACCGAAACTCAATTCAAGGTAAAACAATATCTAAATTGGTAGCCTAGCTCCTTCAAATAGGAATTAACCTTTGTCAAAAGTCAGGAACACTTTCTCAAAACAGATATGGCCCATGAATGTGGATTAAAAGTAGGGCAACAACTGATGATGTTGCAGACATAAAATTGGAAGACTTGGTTTGGTAAACAAAAATTAAACACTAATTGAATTGGAAGATTAAGTCTTATAGTGAAAAAAATATTCATCCCTCCAGGCGACTTAACTTTGATAAAAGGCTGTAATCATAGTTATGAATCGTTATCTATACAATTTTACGTACTCCTACTACAAACCATCATGGAGGACAGCATTAAAATTAGACGACTAAATTACTTACGAAAATTTACAGGAATCTAGAAAAAATTAGCCTACCTACTCACTCTTAGGAGTTCTATTCTTGAACCAATTATCCAGTAATAGTGGACAGACGAATTAATTTAAGAATATCTTATAAATTAAATTTTTAGTTTACATAAGGGCCGATTTCATTGTAGACAGAACGAGTAAGGGTAGTCGTCATGCTTCTTACTTCTTACATCACATCACCACCAACACCAACCTAATCAACATTCACCAGCCAACACATTGCAGCCAACATAACAATACTATAATAAGGAGTGTAGCATAGATTATAAAACCTCTTTTATTTATTTTTACGGCAAGCACCAATTTACAAAACTGTACAACAAAATATAGCCATAGGTAAAACAATAAAACCATAGATAAAACATACTGAAATCATAGATGAAATATAGTTCCTTAGTAGATTCTTAGATTCCCCATCCTTACGAAACAGCTGAAGCAAGGCTGCGGCTGAAGCCAATATTATTGTTAGTTCTGTCCGGTTTTCTGATGTCGTGTTTAACGAAATATTTTCAGGAATCAGAAACTTTTTACTGCCGTAATTTTCAAGGCATATGCATATGACAAAGTCAACAATGAAGTTCAAATTTAACCAAGAAAATAAAACAAGATAAATCATAAATAGACAAAACATTTGTCTGGGCAGTCACAATAGATCAAAAAAATAAAAATTTATTTATTTATTTATCATACGGTAAACACCATTTTTACAACAATAGATATAGATATATAGATATAGATACAATAGATTAGCATCGAGCCTATCAGAAACAAAGACAGTAAAAGGTCAACAATTGTTCATACAGATCATATGGTCATACTCAACATGCAAATAAATAGAGAATTACAGGCATTGAGTAAATTGTTGGCATGTCAAAATAACATTCTACTAAAATATTCCTGAAAATAACTCTCTAGGCTATAAAAGGGCCTTTGAGCAAGCCACTCATGCAACACATGCTTAAACCTACTCATGCTAACATTACGTGCTGTGCTAGGAAGTTTACATTGATAGTCCTAGGTCACTCACGGTTACTCAACAAAGTGGACTTAAACATTTTACCAAAAATCACTGTAAACGGTACAACTTTGCAATACCAGGACAAAGTAAAAAGTCTTGGTTTGACTTTAAACCGAACATTGGACTGGACTGACGCGGTGGTAAGCACTTGTAAAAGAGTGTTTGCCGCTGTACACACACTGAAGAAGATGCAACGACTTCTACCTCTTCACATTAAACTCTTACTGGTCAAATCACTCGTGTTTCCACACTTCAACTACTGCAACACTGTGGTTAATGATATGACTGTGGTTTTGGCAACAAAATTACAACGAGTACAAAATTATTGTGTTCGATTCTTGTTCAATCTTAGGCGTGATGACCATGTAACACCCTATTACATTAATGAATCAATTTTGAAATTATAAGACATCAGAAAAATACGAATATTTTTTATTACTCATTCGGCCATCAATCTTGGAATTCCAAATTATCTTGCAAAGAATTTTAAATTTTTGAATGGAAGAGGCGCAAGGGATACCCGCTCTGGCTCGTCCACGCTTCGCATTCCTGCACAGAACAACTGTTTATAACAAATCATTTTTAGTAACAGCATGCCGCCTATGGAACTCCATACCTTTTCACATTAAATCCATAGAAACCCGATCCCGACTGATGGTGACGCTGAAAGGATATTACCTTGACCGGATGGCCGTGGCTTGGCGGGATGGCGTGCGTTAGGCCTAGATGCAACAGAGGGTGTACGTGTGTGTGTGTGTTACACAACCAATTCCGTGTGTGTGAATGTATGTTAGGGAAGATTAAATAAATTATGATATTTTATAACTTGTTTTGTTACAAACTGTGTTGTTTTTTTTGTTAATATTTTGTTGTTATCGTTAGTTTTTTAGAGGTTAACTGTAAGAAAGGACCATGAGGTCCTAAGTTCGCCTCAATAAATAAGGATTTTCATTTCATTTAAAATATGAATAGACAAAGCAAATTCTAACTCCTACAATTTAATAGATTTCGAACAAATATTTCCAACGAAATACTACAATCAAGGACTAAGCAGTGTTGGGAAGTAGCGCGCTACAAGTAGCGAGGCTACAGTAGCGCGCTACTTTTTTGTAGCGTTAGCTGTAGCGTCGCTACTTTTAAGATTTTGTAGCTTTAGCTGTAGCTAGCTACATTTTTAAAGTAGTTGTAGCGGAATTTTAGCTACTTTTCTCGCTACATTAACATTGTTTGAGATAGTGATTTTTGCCATAACCTCAACCTTACATGAAACAACATCTTTCAAACCGAGATTTCCAAAACAAATAGGCCTACTTTCTTGGCTTCATACAGCTGGTTGCAGCCGTTTCATTCCCTATTACAACGTTGTGTGGACATGGAGGCCATTAAATAAGTGTTATCCACATTTTTAGCTTTCATTTCGTTAATTTACTACTCTATGATTACTGTCAGATAAAATAAAATCGCTAGATGCAGACGACGTTTAAACGTTACCGGTACCAGTGACAATTAAGACAAGCTATTGAATTGAATGCTTGCAAGTGATTGACAGGGAAATTAGTAATCAATTTAGTTTCTTTGTTATATTGATAGTGTTTTAACTAGGGTTTTAATGGAAACCAACACTAAACCTTAAACTAATGAGAAAGCTGGTCTATCAACCTTTGCTTCAGCTGTTGATTGTGGTTCATCGTCACAAGCCCTTCCTTGGTTAGATTACAAAGATTTTTCAAAGGTTTACTAAATTAACAAAGAGGAAATTACCTGATGAGATTTAAGATATGCCTAGACTACATGATAATAGTAACGAAAAAATCTCCATATAACATGAAACTTACATTAAAAAAATAGCATAGTTTGCTCCTGCTAACAGCTCTATTCCTAGGCTAGGTTTAATGACGAATACCAAGTTCAATTATTAGGAATATATCTGTTTAGTCCTTGCAAGAACAAAGCTACTATAGCCAACTTGTTACATTGCCAAGTAGGCCTACATGTTATTTTTACTTTACAAATTTCAACATGTTTAGATTAAAAGCCGATTTCATGATAAGTGGCTGAATACTATTTTCTGTACCAACTAGGTTGAAGCACAATTTGCCCTATGCATAGTGACAATAAAGGACGATTTCTTGACATTGAAAAGTGTTATTCATAGAACAAGTAACTTATCACTATGGTTAAAAGTTATAGCAATGTCGTTTTTAACATTAAAAGTAAAGAAAGACAAAACACTCCAATTTCAATAGGCTAGGCTCTGTAACACAAAAAAGTATTTTTAAATCATCGTTTTACAGTTTAAGTGGTCTTAATTGTTGATATAAGACATCTATAAATGAATCTATATTAAAGAAATAAAATGAGCTTTTAAAATATAGTTTGGTTGTATGTCCTTTGAACTTAATGAAATTTACATATAAGATGCTTAAAAATAATGCAATATTAAAAAATAAGTACTAAATATGATGGGACACCCAACTATTTGATGCTGTTGTTGTAATGTTAGGTTTATAATGCCAACAAATTAAATAAAATCTAGGAATAATTTGTTTTCCAAGTAATGTTAGATACAATACTGACATTTCTTGTTTAAATGTTTGTTCAATAAAAATGTCGTTGCAATTAATTTTACATTTACCTAATGTGCGTGGAATAAAAAGTAACGTCTTTGGGAAAGTAGCTAAAATTGTAGCTGTAGCTACATTTCATTGTAGCTGTAGTTGTAGCTAGCTACTTTTTCGGAACTGTAGCTGTAGCTGTAGCTAAGCTACTTTTTTGGAAACGTAGCAGTAGTTGTAGCTAGCTACATTTTAAAAGTAGCTTCCCCAACACTGGGACTAAGGCAAAACAACACTCACCGGACTCGTAAGGATCCATTATTTACTAAATTGTTATATTTTTATCTATTAGATTGTATAGCATTAAAAAGTCCTACTTACATAGTTTCGATATTGACTTGTGGCTTTTCCTTGTGTATTTTCGAAGTTCGAAGGTGAGTTAAATTTCACCTGAAGGTGAGTTAAATTTCGAGGTTGAGTTAAAAGTTAAATTTCTTGAACAGGTTTTAAGTTATTAGATAACAGTATTATAAAAACAAAATAAGCAATAATGTAATCAGGTTGTTCATGGTTTAAAGAAAATTAATAAAATATCCAAATTGTCTGAGGCGAAGTAAAGTGGCGAAGCAAAATTTTTGGATAATCTCTTTACTATTATAGTTCCTTAGTACAATCACTATTTTCTGTACAGGATTGAAAATCCAACATATGTCCCTGTAGAAGGCATTTGCTACTATTTCATTTTCATAATACCAATTAAGATAATTGAAAGATGTTTGAAGATGTCACTTACAGTGGGAGGGGGTACAATTCCTGCCTGTACACAAGCTAAAATAGCTGTCCAAAAGGGGGTTCCGGGGGGTACAATTCCACCCCGTACACTTTTGGCTATCTGATGGGGGGTACAATTCCAGGGGGGCACAATTCCACCCCGTACATGAATATTTTGATGTTGACAGGAGGTACAATTCCGGGGGTACAATTCCAGGGGGGTACAATTCCGGGCCGTACATCTCCTGCTCTTTTTAATATCTAATATAACTATTCGGTTCACTGATCACTTGCCCACATTAAACAGACTAATTTCGTCCAAATCAAAGTGTACGGGGTGGAATTGTACCCCCTCTAGGCGTGACGTCAACGATCGCCGGGGGGTACAATTCTGGCGACCCAGAAGGCATGTAAGAAATAACAAATATGAACCTTTAGTGGAACAAGCTCAGCTGATAGAGGCTACCAGACTATGCTCGCATCAGAGATGGTAGAGAGGCTATGGTACTGACTGTAGTGGAGTAGGGGGAATGAGCTCAGCTGCAGGCAGGCAGCTGCTCGCTGCTCTGGCTGAGACTCGGAGGGTATTTACTCAATGGAGGTACAGAAGAGCCTTCGATGACGTCAGCTGTCAGATCTCCTCTTGAGGGAACACCATTACCTCAACGATACGGAACTGTATCATCGGCCTCGGTGGTGTAGTGGATAGCGTGTTGGGCTAATAATCCGAAGGTGCCTGGTTCGAATCCTGCTGGCAGCATTAACTTTTTGTCAATTTTTTTTCATATCAGCAAGTTTGGTTGGTTTGGTTAGGTTATGACAGTTAAATTTTTTAATTAAAAAAATTCTAAAATTGAATTTTAGGCTTTTATAATTTAATTTTATGAACAAAACTATTTTTTAGATTAGTAAACCTTCATTAGATTTTTTCATTATCAACACGTTTGGTTAGTTTGGTTAGGTTATGACAGTTTTATTTTAATTGAAAATTTTTATGATTAATTTTAAAATTTTTCTTAATTTTATAATTAACTAGGCCTAATAGTGAAGTAAAAATTACGCACTGTGCTCTCTACTACAACGCTGTTAACGGAGGAATTTTGAACTAAAATATGATGTAATCGTTGCCTCATTTGTACCTCCCTTAAGTCAGACCCGACTCGGAGTCGGTCGGATCGGAGCTCGATCAGTCGATCGTGTCGTGTCGTGAGATTTTGATTTTAAGTAAAAGCCCAAAAGCCGAAGCCGAGCCGACAGCAACACTGCCGAGTGCCGACAGACAGCCGGAGCCCCGGAGCCGACTAGCCGAGCCGAGGTACGGGTTTTGGGTTAGGTTATGACTTTGATATTGTGATTGTGAATTAATATTATGCTTAATTCCTGACAACTCATAAGTGGTCAATTAATTGAGTGTCATATTAACCTACGATTTCTTTTCTTTTCAACATTATATAACTTGATGTAGGCCTTGTAACTTGCTTAAGTTTTATGCTTCTTCAGTCTGCATTGTCTGTTTGTTAACTATTTTCGATCTTCTGATTCTTCTGAAGTTTTGTTTAAGCCTATGCCCCCTGTAGCCTAAGTTAGGCCTAGCTAGTTCCTTGCAGTTTAATGAATCACTTAAGTTTTGCTGTGAATTAGCTAGGCCTAGATAGCCTAAAAAACTTAAAAGGCCTTAGCCTAAAAAACTTAAAAGGCCTTCAGATCATCGTAGGCCTAGCCAGCCTCCCTGCTACTTGGCTGGAAGCAAAGGTAAAATTATTTATGTCTACACTGGGATATGATGTAGTTTTTAGGGGTACACTTCCATAAGTTATCTGTTGGCACAAACAACCGAATGAAAATATTGATCGATGTATCGATTATTCGATATAAGTTATTGTTCGGTTAGTTAGGTAAGGCTAACCTAACCTAGGCCTAACTAACCAAACGATATATTGAATTAAATAATTGAATAATCAATATTACTCATTTGGTTGATTGTGCCAACAGATATGGAAGTGTACCCGTTTTTAGATGTCTACTTAGGCCTACAGTTTTTTTTTTCGAGCTGAATCCAAAAATGCAATCAGTTTTTGTCAGAGAGATTCCTAGTGTACCACACTCTGTTTCATAGTAGGTATTTTAAGGGTCGCCGGATTTCTACCCCCGGATATTTACCCCCATGAAAAAACGCCTACGTCATTTTGACGTCACGAGGGGCGGGGCTTATACATGGTCGAGAAACAGCCCGCGACTGGAAATCTACCCCCGGACATCTACCCCCAGACATCTACCCCCGGACATCTACCCCCGGACATCTACCCCCGGAAATCTACCCCCAGTGGTCAGCTCTGCCACGTATCGGCCAATATTCATTGTTGTAATTGATTTTATTAATTGTTTTATGTAAATCAACGTCTCTTCGGTTAATCATTACCCTCTAATATCTAGTATTAAGCATGTGATATGTCATTGCCTTGTTTAACATTATCTATCTTCCTAATAAAATAAGTTGTAACAGCCCTTTTTCACCCGAACTGCTTCACTGGTATTTATGATTGAGGTCTAATTTTAAATCTTAAGATTCAGCTCAACGCAAAATGGTATTTAAAACCATATGTTGATAAAGGGCTTCAAAAGTGTGACCCTTAAGCATTTGACTCTTTTCCAGACAGTGATTTAAATGGTTAACAAACTTTCACATACAGTAACAGCTAACAGCGCATGCATGAGCGCGGATCGGAAGTGTTTATCACAAAAGATTGACCAATACGATTTTAATACTATTTAAAGGTTCTTCCAAAAGAAGAGAAACCGGTTAACATTGTAATAATAACTGTTATGACGTACGGTATGGGAAATATTTTATTCATTGAATGATCAACCATATTTTGTAACTAACGCAATAGTCATTATTGCTTTTACACTTATTACTCATCAAAAGAGCTAAATGCTCAAAATTTGTATTACTTCAATCTATTTATCGCAGTTATAAAATGAATTAGCATAAGCCTTGAAAGTAACCGTCAGTGTCGACGGGTTTAACCTAATTCTGTTCTGTATACTACTTTAAAATGCCTCATTTTAACATTTTACTAACAGGAAACCTGCTTATTCACTTCCTATTTGGTATTCTTATGAATGAATCTTTTGAACACTTATTTATGGACATAAGTTGACAAGTTTTGTTTTAAGGCAGGATTTTCCAATAAGACTTTATACATGCTCTGAATATGCGAATGTGCTGCAATGGGGGTATTTAGGCGTATATATATTTATATATGCCTATATTAAAAGATGTTAGGCTATGCTTAAAAAATTGAATGTGGTCATTATTTTGAATTTGAATAATTGTCTTATTTTAGGTATTTAAGAGAAAATACTTTAAAATCGTTTCTTAGTACGCATCTAAAATCTTAGAAACTAAATTTTTTTACTACTAGGTGATATGAAAAATTTACCATTATACACCTGACTTTTTATTGATCCTCTTTCTCAATTTAACAGTTTACAACTGAATTGTCTTATTTTAGGTATTTAAGAGAAAATACTTTAAATCCTTTCTTAGTACGCATTTAAATCTTAGAAACTATTTTTTTTACTAGATGATATGAAAAATTTACCATTATACACCTGACTTTTATTGACCCTCTTTCTCAATTTAACAGTTTACAACTGAGTTTTGTTTTACTAAACAATTATTCCTACTAGGCCCACATTGAATAAACCGGAAGGTCACCACAGTTTATTCACTTTATCCTTTAAGAAATGTGTGTAAAAACAATGGTTCAGTACGATGTAACACTTGACCATGTGAAAAGTGCGCAATATTATATTATTTTCATAACTTTTTCATCTCCTGTTTACAGTTGCAGACGATCATTCATGTTTTCACAACCTGACTTAAAAATTGATCTGATGAGTACTCCTCACATTTCACTTTTAAACTGTTACTGTATAGTGTAAAAGTTGGTCAACCATTGGAAGCACCTTCTAGGAATAAATCAAAGGCTTAGGGGTCAACATTTTGAAGCCATAATCGAAATATCCTTTTAATTACCATTTTGTGCTGCGCTAGATCTTAAGCTTTTAAAAGACACCTCAATCGTAAAAATCAGTGAAGTAGGGTTGAAAAGGACTGTTACAACTTATTGAATTATAAATATGGATAATGTTAAAACAGACATCGACATATCGCATGTTTACTACTGGATATAAGAAGGTAAAGCAATTTATAAAATCAATTATACAACACAATGAATATTGGCCGATACGCGGCAGAGCTGACCAATGGGGGTAGATTTCCAGGGGTAGATGTCCGGGGGTAGATTTCCAGTCGCGGGCTGTTTCTCGAACGTGTATAAGCCCCGCCCCTCGTGACGTCAAAATGACGTAGGCGTTTTTTCATGGGGGTAAATATCCGGGGGTAGAAATCCGCTACCCCTATTTTAAGCTATGGTCTCATTCTCTGGGGTCATGCGCCATCATGTCAAGAAATTCTCAAATTGCAGAAAAAAGCAGTAGCCTAGGCCATGTCTTAGACATGTCTTAAATGCGTACAATATTTCCGATATTTGATTTTAAAGTAGTTTTAAATTTTAATTTTTGCAATAAAAGTTGATTGAGGCCTAAAGCATTAGAGATAGAAGAAATGTTGTAATAATCTTTTCGAAGGACAATATATTTAGGCGTTGATAGACGCTCAAACCACCTTTCCATCATTAACCGTTTGAGAGTTAGACGCGGAAACGTAAACCGATGACCCGGGCAACTTCCCCCCCCTCCCACCCGAGTTGTGACCACCCTAGAAATGCGACATCATCGATTTTTTTCATCTACTAGATGTCCTCAACAATAATCAAAAGTCAAATTTTGTCAGACTTTCAGTGCATACTCAACCGTTTGGCGCCCGGCCTATAATACATACTGCAGTAAAGAAGTTAGCCTATTATTGAATATCTTTTATATTAAATTAAGCTCATCTAATCTAATCTTTGATATTGTTATTTCAATTGTGCAAAAACAGTCTGGAAGTAACGTAAATTAATGAGTTGGTTCATTATAACCTAAAGTTTACCTTCCTAATCTAACCTAACTTTAAAACAAAATAGCCTACAGTAACGAATCCGCATAAAACCTGACCTACCTTCCCCACATGCCTAAATAAGAGCTGACTATTTAGTTTAAAAACAAATTGATTTCATTCTGCATTAAGTCGAGCACTGTATAAACAGCTGTTTGCTCTCCTCACTCAGTCCTCAGCCCACATACGGACCCGTCCAGACAACGCCATGTATTACCATCAGTACCGCTTTAAATGAACCTTAGATTCGTAATTTTAACCTTCGTTTTACAGCCACTTAGGAATCTCGACAAAAACTGATTGCATTTTTTGATTCAGCATGAAAAAAACTGTAGGTAGACATCTAAAAATTACATCATAATAAATATTCCAGTGTACTTGGTAATCCCCGTTAACGACAGCGCAGGTCCTGATTGCGGCGAAGGTTCTCATTGGAGCCTGCTTGTGTGTAGAACTGTTGATAAAAAATTCTTTTACTATGACTCGATAACCAATATCATAAGTTACCTCATGCACAAAGAATTGCAAAAAAACTATTTAATTATTTGAGCCCGTTAAACATCGGTCAGGAACCTACAATTAATATATGCAAGACACCACAGCAAACCAACACATACGACTGTGGAATATTTGTTTTGACAATAGCAAATACCATTATTAACAACATCAAGACTAATGCCTCTTTCTCATTGGAGAAGGTATGTCTACCAGAATCATTAGACAAAACTGACCTCATATCTAAGCGATCATTATTTGCTTATACAATAAATAACAGAAGTGTCATTAAAACTGAAGATTTGGTTGCTCTTTTCAATACAAAAATCGTTCTCTGCACTGACACAACATGCAATGAACATGAAATACAGGACAAAAACATTGGAGAAAACAAAAACCCATCATCAGAACCCACAATTGCTTCTACTAATGTGTGGAATATTGTAACAACAAAGATTCGTAAAAATAAAAAAAACTTCTAGACTTAACTACAATAATCATAGAAATACTACTGAACATAAAAAAACTCTTAGGACCTCAAACCACTTTAGTATTCTCTCCAGTTTGGACGAGGAAACTAAATCTGAAACAACTAACTGCAGTCAGAATACACCACTCAGACAAATACATAACAAGTCGGGGAAGAATAAAGTCAAAGCATCATGTAGGCCTACAAAGCTGGGGAGAAAAACAAGCATTTCACTCTTTTCCGATAGCCAAGGAAGAGATCTTTGTGAACAGTTTGATGCAATAGGATACAGTCAGGAAGAGCTTAAAACTACTGCTCTTGTGATGCCTAACGCCACACTTGAGCAAGTTGCTCAGTCAGCATTACTCTCGACACATGCAACAGATGTAACTGTTCTTCTGGCAGGAACAAACGACACATTTAAAGGCAACCTCAATCACCTCTTTAAAAACCTTGAAAAATGGCTGATGAAACTGACTACAAAAACTAAAGGAATGGTAATACTCTCCACAATCCCCACTCGATATGACATGGGCATCAATAACCCAATTCATAATGATATCAAGCTCCTGAACAACTACATTAGGGAGCTGGCTGTTCGATCAGTTAATTTGTATCTAATTGACCTTGACTTTTTAAAACGTCATCATTACAGTCGACATGGATTATACCTAAATCAAGGAGGGAAAAAGAGAGTAGCCCATATGATCTTAAAGGTCATAA